TTTACCCAAGAGGGGTTTAATATATAAACAATATAATTAAGTAAACAAGCGTTTTCCATCAATTTTCCACAGTTGCCAGTGGAATGTATTTGCCTCTGCCTTGTTCTGCAATCAGTCTGTCAATTTCACAGACAGTTGCTCAGAACAGCAGCTCAGCGAGTAGTGTGTTCTGATTCTCCTATTTTAATTTAATTCTTGAACCAACTACATAACTAGAATTCGACTTCTAATGGCATATATTCTTTTAGCCGAACACCTGTGTTATTTAAAGAGCAAAATATAGTTAGTTTGAGAGTCCGTATCTACATTCCATGCTTACAATAATAATAATAATAATTTACACACCAAAGAAACAAATAAAAGCTCGATTATTAACCAAATTGAGCAATGGCCCAAAAAAGTATGCTACATAAAAGCTGATGAAATCGCAGATAAAATGAATAGCAAGACAGAAAAAAGAAGAAGAAGAAATATGCCCAGAAGCACATAATTTATAACATATACATGTGTATATGGCTGCCATTAATCAAATGGCTTTCCATAAACACACCAGAATTTGTGCCTTTTTTTTTGTTTTGGCCAGCTCTCAGGCATGTCTACTAAGCTCCTCGATATGATTGGCAAAAGCATCATGGCATCTACTAGAAATCTGCCACTTGCTTAGATCTTGAGCAATTTGAACAGAACAAGGTATTTTTCTTTTTACGTTTTCTTGCTATTGAATTCGACCTATGCAAACAAGCAACCGCAAGAACTACTTCAGCACAGCCCTTTGAGCACATCAATCATACGCACTGTTGTGCGGGGCAAACATTTGCATAGGCCATGTGTGGTGGGCGGCAAGTCGGGACCGTGGCATGAACGCTAATGTGAGTAACCGACAGCGGTGCCATCCCGCACAACTTGACCGACTGGCAAATGCCTCAACTTGCCCCCAAACTCCCCCCACGCCTACGCCAAAGCCCACGCCCAACATTGGTCTACCATTGAAGAAAACTTTGGCTCGAACAATATGCAAATTGTAATACGTCAAGTTTCTGCTGCATATGGCTTGTCGGGCTTAAACTGAACTCTGTGTCTGTGTGTGTGTTGTGTGTGTGTGTGTGTGTGTGTGTGTGTGTGTGTGTGTGTGTGTGTGTGTGTGAGCCAGCGAAAGTTTTACCAGCTGCCAACTGTGTGCTCTCGGCTCTCGGTTCTTAGCTCTGTTTATGCTAATACCTTGCAGCTTGCCACATACGCTGCCTAATTCAATTTTTGGCATTTTGACTAAGTCGTTTATCTGCGGCAAACACAGTACCAAAGTTGCCAGCCAAAATTGAATCAGTAACCAGTCAAAAGCCAACATCATCATCATCATCATCACCATCATTAGCAACAGCAGCATCATTATGATCAACGCTGTCATTGTCGCTGTCATATTCATGAGTCGAGTCCCATGAGTTTGGCTTTTGACGGTTTTTTTCGGCGTGCGATTATGTAAATTTCATTGGAAAATTTATTGCGAAAGCATGCACGCCGTATGCATTGCATAAATAGCTCATTAAATGCCCAAAGAAAGCACGTCTAATTCAGTTAAGGCCACGTCTGAACACGCCCGGTCACAAGGACATGCCCAGCTAGCCAATTGGCCACATTCTCTTCCATTCGTAATGCGTGTGTAATGGCGGCATTTTGTGATTAATGAGCCGTTTGACTTGGCAACTAACCGAGAGAGCAACAACTTGTGCCACAAACTAATCAGGCATTATCATCAACAACAACAACAAGAACAACAAGTGCAACATCATCATCATCATTATTTACTAACAACATAATTAACAAGAACAGCAACAATCATGGTGGAAATACAAAAGCCGCATTCGGCTCTTAAGCGGCCATCGCTAAAACGCGAAACAGTCGTGGTTAACAATAGTGCACCCACCATTAAAAAGGTGACGCTGGTGCCCAAGGATGAGGTGAGTCCAGGAGTGTGGGCGGGGACGGACCCGGGGGTGGGGACGGGGCGTTGTGCTTAAGGCACTTTGTTGTTTGTAGTAATTACATAATTGCGCGCTGCATAATGTGTGCTTTGTTCTTTTTCTGTTGTGTTTTTTTTTTCTTCTTTCTTTATTTTGGCCATTTCACGCAATTTGCATACATTTTGTTGGCCAAAATTTGATTTTCCCTGTAATACCCTTGCAGAGGCTATTATCACTTTGTCGCGAACTGTGTAACGCATTGAAAAAGAAATCGCAGATCTGCTTCAGACTTATATATTAAAGAACTGTCTCAGTAACAGTCGAGGCAACATGGACATGTCCGTCTGTCTAGTCTCTCATCGGGAAACCTTGCATAGATCTATTTTTATAATGCAGGCAACTGGATCGAAAGACTATATCATATTGTCATAGAAAAGAACATTCAACAATTTTCTTTCTCGAAAACCTTCTTTTTTTGCTATTGCGAGTATTAATCCATTGATATAAGCCAAATCTTGTTGACAGCGAACTACCATATCACGTAGTGTTATAGGTCGAATCGCTCGATAAATGTGGTTTTGTTTGGAAAATACTTTTAAATATGTATATCTACACCAAACTTGGCTTCAGTTTTCCCCCAACATATCGAATCGGTTGACTATATCATATCCCTTCTTTAGAAACAATCACAAAATAATACTTGTATAAGCAAAGGGTATCTAAACTTCGACATGCCGATTTACCCGTTCATTCTTTTTTGTTTTTCGTATTAGGAAAACTCTCTTTGAAATTTGTTGACTACGTTTGGGTATAATAATGCGATTAGTTTGACTAATCCAATAAAAAGTCCATTAATGCAATATTTAAGTGCATGTAAATTTTATAAAAACTTTGGAATTACTTTTATTATTATTATATTTTGGCGAAACTTAAGTTGAAATAAGTTTCTGGCAGCCGGCACAAGGGATATACAAGTTCTTGAATGTGTCAGAGCAGCAATTAAACTAATATATACATATATATATATATGTAAAGCTCGATCTCGTATGCAGAAATAATTTCCATTGGTTTCTAGCCCTAAACACCTCTATCAGGGCCTTTCGAGTATCTGAAATGCATATTGGGCGGCGTTGCCTGGCTGCAAATGCCACAATTTTGGAGGCAAGTTAATTAAGTATGCAAATGCTTGTGTCTTTCGGGCGTGTCCTTTGTTGCCGACGCCTTGACTGAGGGCTGGCACAAAAGGATTAAGTGAAGTCCTTTTTCTAGGCTCATTTAATTGCTTTTATGCGCCGTAGATAAACAAGTGCCCCCAAAATATCTGCCAAACAGGAAACATACTTTCGCCCAGCTTTGAGCTCAAAACCCTTACCTTCCACTTGCCCCGCCCCCATAACTCGATTATGGCTACGCATAAAATTACAAATAGGAAAATATATATAGATAAATATATATATATATATATATATATATATATTATGTGTTTGCCTTTGCCTTTGTCTTTGGGTTTTGTTGCTTCTCATTTTATGTTGTCGCAGCTCATTTGCAAAATTCATAAATAAACGCAGCGCAGATTGCGCCAATGGGGTATACAGCACTTAGCGTATGCGCTATGTTGAGGTGACACAAAAGAATCTCTGGAGTATTGCTGGGAATAGCGTTAATTACCAAAGTCAAGATGATTATCAACTTGCTAAGGAATATTGGAGTCAATTTATTGAATTGGCCACATCAAAACACAGAAGTTCAGAAGAGCTTAAATATCTTGAGCAGGTTCTTTCCCCAGAAATTCGCCAAAATTCGTTGAAGTTAATGCCAGATCGATTGCGAAATGTTATTCATCACAAAGAAGCATCAATTTTGCACTAAGCTAAGGCTTTGCGTTTGTAAACTTTTCGTATAACTTTTCTCTTGTCAAAATACTTTTTGCACTTAAATATTTTCCTCAGTTTTTACGCAGAATTTGACAACAAGTGAACGCACCTTGAAGCAAAAAAGTTCTTATTAAAAGTTACCTACTTCATTTCTCAGCAGTATATCGAATCGATTTTAGTTAACTTAAACTTATCTTCGGGACATTTGACATACTTTTGGGTTAGATCAAATCGTCTGACTATAACATTACATGCTTTCCACGCTTAACTCTTGCATGGGGCATACCCTTTGGTGTTGTGTTTGGTCAAGGGTATAACTTAGGTTAGCGCGCACAGATTGCGCACAGATTTTAAGTTTATAAATGCAAATTATAAACTGGCTGAAGGCGTAACAACTTTCGATTGGCATTTCATTATAAGCGTGCCATAAATAAACTCCATTTGCCATATCGATTGCCCAAACGCTTGAATACCCTGACAGCCCGAAGCCCAGGGCCGTGCTATCAAGAGCAGGCTGTCCGCCTCGACACGTTGCCACGAGTTGAGAGACGGCAACGGAGAGGTTGGCGGAGAGGAAGACGGAGGCGATGGCGATGGCGAAGACGGTCGCAAAAGTTCGCTGCAAATCTTTGGGCCATAAATAAGACCCCCTCGCCGACCCCTCAGGTTCTAGCCACTCGCTGCGCCCGCATTTTATTACCTTTGAAAAGTTGTTTGGCTGAAGCACGCAGAAATAAATAAATAAAATACAAATACAAATACAAATACAAATAAAATTTATAGAGCCAACTCAGCAAACGGCAAATAATTGAGCAGTCCTGCCAAAATGTTTTACGAGTCTCATAATTCTTTTTTTATGTTCAAAATTAAATTTAATTTGTCAGGCAAAGGTAATTGCGAAATGCTTCAGCTTCCTTCGCTCATCGTTATAATCGCCCACTCCCCTCGCTCGACCAACCCCCAACAAAATCGTCCTGCCTCTTTCCCATGTCTGTCTGTCATCATCTGTCACAGAAACAAAATTTTAAGAAAAAAAAAAACAGAAAGTAGCGCGTACCTACAGCAATCCAAAGTTTAAATACTCTCTTAAATACAGATATGTCAAAAGAATAAGGAAGCTCGCAATTACTGATTTTGGTCAAGATATCTGAGAAAACAGAACATTAACTTATATAAAAATAGGTCCCTTGTGCTGAAGGTTTAATATGATATGGATTTCATGTGATATAGGTCCCATTTGATACAGGTCCCATGTGCTATAGGTCCCATATGATATAGGTCCCATATGCTGTAAGACGTATATAATATAGTTCGCATATGATATAGGTTCTATGTGATATAGATCCCATGTGATCTAAGTCCCAGTTGATATCGGTTCCATGTGCTATAAGTCCCAGTTAGTATAGGTCGCATGTGATATGGGTCCCATGTTATATAAGTCCCATGATCTAAGTCCCATGATCTAAGTCGCAGTTAATACAGGTCCCATGTGATATAGCTCCCATGTGATACAGATACCTGGTGATATTCTCCCATATGATATAGGTCCCATGTGCTGTAAGTCCCAGCTGATACAGGTCACATGTGATATAGGTCCTATATGATATAGGGTCCCATGTGATATAGATCCCATGTGATGTAGGTCCCATTTAATATAAGTCCCATATGATAGAGATCCCATGTGCTATAAGTCCCATAAGAAACAGATGCCATGTAATATAAGTCCCTTATGATTTAGGTCCCTTGCTGATCATATATGATATAGTGGTCCGATTCAGCCGATTCTCATGCATGTACTGCTTTGATTACGAAAGACTAGTTCCCATAGAAAGAGAGCTCGACTGTTGCTGCTGATGTAGAATAAATACACTTTTTTGGGTCGGAGATGTTGCGTGACAAAGTTGTAATGCCCCCTGTGTGCAAGGGTAAACAAAAAAAAAACAGTTGGAAACTCATTTTTGACTTGGTGAAATTAAACTTTGTGAAAAGTTGTTGAGCGCAGGAAGCGCAGCCCAGGACACTTCCAGCACTGCACTGATTTCCTTTTAATTATCATAATTATGCGTTGAATCGCAATTTGTGCCAGCCATGTTACAGTCCCCGCACGATGCCCACCGCATCGACCTTGAGCACTTTCAATGCTAATGGCAAATGGGGACATGGCCACCCCCCCCTCCCCTTTATCCGGCCCGCCTACAATACCGGAGATAACATTTTTCTAAAAAAAAAAAATAAAATAAATTGGGCATGCATTCTGTGTGGCTTTGCCCAACTGACGCAGCACTTTAAACCATTTAACAGCTGCGAATCGGTTAAAAAGTAATTTTCAAACATTTTTATTCAAATAAAAAGATGGTATTTGATTTGCGAAACATTGTTCCAATTTCTTTTGGATATAGTAAAAAAAGTTACAGCATTCTATATTCAATTAAATGATATTTACATTTATACTATATTAAACGAAGAGCAATATATTAAGCTCTAAAGAGTTTTTCTTGGTACATGCAAACACTTTCTTTAAACATTTTCTTGGTAAAATATTTTCATTTCAATTGTTTTCGGCAATAAATATGAGATATTAGATATTATATATATATATTATAAGAGTGATTGGATTAAGAATATATAATTATATATGCTTTAAGATCTTAAGAGTTTGCATCCCAAGTTCCCAAGATTTTCATTAATGTCGAGAGTGCCCGACTAGGAGATACCCTGAATCTTCCTCTACCAATGCCAAATGCTATAAAATGGAAGATAATTGATCTGTATATACTATTCTAGAAGCTACATATTCATTTTGGTGACTCTAGCCATTAAAACTAACAAATTAGCACAAAAAACAGGATTGCATTTCGATTTTTATCGATTGCTTGGAAACGGGACAAGTTATCGATAATTGGCAACAAACTATGCTGAGTAAAGTTTAAGATTTAAGACGAAATTCTCTCAAATTCTCTGGAAATAAAAAAAATCGTTATTTGCCGAGCTCACAGTTTGAGAGTTATTGATGAGAAACAAAAGCTCTCTTTACAACATTTCCAAACGGCAATTAGACTGTGAATAGAGTATTGCACAGTCGGTGCTTACTTGCTTGGCAATTGCCTAAAATGGCGGCTCAAT